GGATCAAATTCTCTTCATTTATTAGTTTAAATGAAAGTTGATTTGAAGGAATCATGTTTTGAGAATATTAAGATAAGAAATACTTCCTTAATAGGAGCAAATTTAGTAAGATGTGACTTAAGCGGATCTGAATTTGAAAATGTCATTATTAGTGGAGTGAATTTGAATTAAGCCAAATTATTCAATTGTAAATGGAGGAATTTAGGGATAAATGAGGGAATTGAGATGAATGGTCATGCTGATATTGTCAATTAAGTTTGCTTTTCTCCAGATGAGAAGTCATTAGCTTCTTGTAGTGATGATAATTATGTTATTTTGTGGGATGTTAAGACAGAAAAAAGAAAATATGTTTTATAAGGAAAGAGGTAGGTAAAATCAGTATGTTTCTCTTCAAATGGTACTGCGTTAGCTTCATGTAGTGGCACATTTGTGTATGTATGGAATCTTAGGACAGGAAAATAAATTCTTAAACTAGATGGTAGTTCAAAAGCAATGATATCAATCTGTTACTCTTCTGATGGAACAACATTAGCATCTTGTAGTAGCGATAGATCAATTCTTTTCTGGGATGTTAAAACAGGATAATAAAAAATAGTATTAGATAGTCATTCGGATGATGTTAGATCAGTCTGTTTTTCTCCAGATGGCACTACATTAGCATATGGTAGTGGAGATCACTCCATCCGTTTATGGGATGTTAAGACAGGATAATAAAAAGCCTAATTAGATAGTAATTTTGGAGAAGTCATGTCAATCATTTTCTCTCCTGATGGTACTATATTAGCATCTGGTAATACTGAGGACTTCATCTGTTTATGGGATGTAAATACAGGATAATAAAAAGCCTAACTAGATGGGCATTCAGGAACTGTGTGGTCAATCAATTTCTCTCCTGATGGTACTATATTAGCATCTAGTAGTGATGATAAATCTATCCGTTTATGGGATGTTAAGACAGGATAATAAAAAGCCAAATTGGATGGTCATTCAGGTTATGTTTACTCAATCTGTTTTTCTCCTATTGGTACTATACTGGCATCTGGTAGCGACGATGGCTCTATCCGTTTATGGGATGTTAAGATAGGATAATAAAAAGCCGAATTAGAAGGTCATTATAGTTGCATTAATTCAATTTGTTTCTCTCCTGATGGTACTACATTAGCATCTGGTAGTAATGATAAATCTACCCGCTTATGGGATGTTAAGACAGGATAATAAAAAGCCGAATTAGATGGTCATTAAAGTTGTATTAATTCAATTTGTTTCTCTCCTGATGGTACTACATTAGCATCTGGTAGTAATGATAAATCTACCCGCTTATGGGATGTTAAGACAGGATAATAAATAGCTAAATTAGAGGGTTATTCAGGTTATGTTTATACAGTCAGTTTCTCTCCTGACGGTACTACCTTAGCGTCTGGTATTAATAAGTCTATCCATTTATGGGATGTTAAGTCAGGATAATAAAAAGCTATTTTAGATGGTCATTCGGATGATGTTAGAACAGTTTGTTTCTCTCCTTAAGGTACTTCATTAGCATCTGGGAGTTAAGATGACTATATCCTTTTATGGGATGTCAAGACAGGCTAATAAATGTTCGAATTAGATGGTCATTCATATTGGGTTCTATCAGTCTGTTTCTCTCCTGATGGTACTATATTGGCATCTAGTAGTTATGATGACTCCATCTGCTTATGGGATGTTAAGACAGGATAATAAAAAGCCCAATTAGATGGTCATAAGAGTTGTGTTAATTCAATCTGTTTCTCTCCTGATGGTTCTACATTAGCATCTGGTAGCTCAGATAAGTCTATCCGTTTATGGGATGTTAAGACAGGATAATAAGCAGCCAAATTTGATGGTCATTCAGGTTGTGTTAATTCAGTCTGTTTCTCTCCTGATGGTACTACATTAGCATCTGGTAGTGGAGATAACTCTATTCGTTTCTGGGATGTTTCAACAGCATAAAAAATATTATTTTCAGATAATTGTTAAAAAGATACTCAAGCATAATTTTAATCTTCAACAATTATTAATAATGGTCTTCCATAAAGTGGTATTTAATCCGTATATCTTTAGCAACCTCTATTATTACGGTTTTAAGAATTTCTTAAAATCCAAATTTTGATGCATAAGGAGCTTTAATCTTGAATGGAGAATTTGTAAATCATTAAAGCTTGAATCTAAAATCATTTTTCAAATTTAAAGGAAGTTTGATTTTAGAAAACTATACAGAATTAAAATAAGAGTGATTATTAATAAAAAGAACGAATATTTGATTTTCATTCTATATATGCTATATAAATATGAATTCTTACTTTATAGCCGCCTGATGATGAGATTAATTTTATAAGTTAAAGTATATTTAAGTAAGAGAATAAATCGTTTGCTTAAATAAAATTCTGTTTTAAAGAATCAAAATTAAGATATGGCATTCATTATTTCAGATGATATAACTACATTCTACTTTTATCAATTGAAATTTGCTTCATTGTAATATTCAGAGGAGAGATGTAGTAATATTTCTAAGTTTGCTAAATATATAAAAGTAACTCAGACATTAATATATTTTGCAAGGGTTTAAACAGCTTAAGCAATTAGGATTAATTTTCTGACAATAAATTTGAAAAACAAAATTAACGAATAAAAATCAATGGCTGACATATTAAATTTTAAATTAATGATATATAGAATAATAAAAATGATAAATTAATCCACGTTATTACATTTACGATTTAATTTAATTCAATTAACCAAATTTAGAAAAAGTGTGGTATAATATGTGTAGTAAATTTGTAATATGATATTTAGGATCTGCATTCTCAACTAATTTAGACTTTGCAATATTATCAGGAAATACAGAAGATCTTATAAAAAGAAGGTATGGTATTGTTAATATAACCTTGCCCTATTCTTCAATAATTGAGAACATTAAGGATGAATTGTATTACAGATTAATTCCAGCTGTTTCTTCTTTTAAACTTTGCTAAAGAAATCTTAAATGATATTGAATGATGTAATATAAGCTAGATAGTTAAAATTATTAAATGAATAGATTTTATATTTTTTTAAGAAATAAATTCACTAGTTTTTTAAAAATCTAAAGTTAATTTTTTTAGTTTTCAAATATGATTTTTTCTACAGTAATTCGTTCTTCTTGCTTAAACTTTAAAATTATCAAATCCTAAAAATATCTCGATTTCTCTCATTTAAATCGTAGTATATATAAAAATAAAAGGTTTTAATAATAATTATTAATAAAAGAATTTACAAAATTATTTTATTTACAAATACCAACAGCCTGATAATTAATTTCATTAATTTTCATAGTTAATTGATTTTTATATAACCCCCATACTCGAACTACATTTTTCAAGCCCCTTTAAAGTTGCTGATATAATTTGAATCATAAAGGAATTAAGTTTAGACTATATTAAATAAAGCTCGAATCATTTAAATGTACAGGTTCTTTCATATAAATTATAATAAATCTACTTTTGCAATTCAAAGTTGAAAGAAACGAAATTAGCTTTAGTTTTATTTTGTTTAGGTTAATTCTATTAAACTAAGGGGAATCTAATAAACATTTTGTAAGGAGTTTGGATTTACTCTTCAAATAGGATTATTATTTAGACGAACCATTAATTAGGATTAAGTGCCAGAAACATAAGACTTATTTTCCAAAATTACTACAATATTAATTTGAATGAAATAATTTCTTTAATATTAGCTCCCAAAAAAATTTGCTTCATCTTAGAAGGTTAAATCATTGTAATAATTTTCTGTCTAGTTACTAATACTATGATCAGGTCAAGAGAATCGATCTCCAAAATATCATGTTTTAATAATCAACTTAATGATATTAGTGTATGCTAGAGTAGTCATCATTTGTCTTGTATTTTAGGATTTCGTTATAAGGCATTTTTCTAATCCTGTTAGAAACATACGATAAAATAAAATCAAAATAGTAATTTTTTTTAATCTAAAAATATAATAAAATTTGCCTAATAAGAGTCTTTTGAAAATTCATCCTAGTTAATTATGCATATGAAAGGTTGGGTCACTAACTGTAGGTATTTATCGAATACCTGTATATTAATTCTATGGTCTATTTCTAAGTAATGAATTATTTTTCTATCTCTAATTAATGAGCAAGAATCAACCTTATATTTTGAACCTGAAGCATGAGTTAAATTCTACACTTATTGATAAACAATTTAAAAAAACATGTAGATTGAACATACTTCATTAAACAATACGATCATTCTCAATAGATTCTGAATAAATTAAGATAATTAATG